AATGAAAAAGTAAAGATAAAATAAATCCTTTAAAATATGTTCAGGCCCTGTTCAGTTCACCTTATTTCCACTTATTTCAGGAGAAATAAGTTCGGATAAGGGTTAATAAGTTTAGATAAGTTCTGGAAAAATAAGTCCAGATAAGTTCAGATAAGTTGTGATAAGGAATAATCAGGGCTATCTAAGTTCAATTTATAACTAAAATAAGCTCTAATAAGGGCTAATAAGTTCAGATAAGATCAAATAAGTTTAGGTAAGATTTAATAAGTTCAGATAAGACCAGATAAGTTCAGATAAGTAAAAATCAGGTGAATAGAACGCACCCTCATTTTTTATGTGCTATATGTTTATTTTTAAAGTACTACTTGTTCATCTTTTACCAGAAATTATACACGAGTTCGATTGTAATTATTCCAACTCAAAAAAATTGAATTCATACACCTTAAATCTAATCTTGTTATAATACGTTTAGGAATCCAAAAAAAAAAAAAAAAAAGGGGAGAGAGAAAATGACTATAATCAATTGATATTGGAAAAATTGCCCGAAATAATCCCACTTTTGGGGCGTCCGCAAAAAATAATCTCACCTTTCGGTTATTTTTAAAAATCTAACCTTTATACCCAATCCGCTAAAAATGATCCCAAGTAACCTGTAATCGGTTGAGTAGGTAATTTTTTTTATTAAGTTTAATTTACACGTGTCACCACGTGATTAGTCAAAAAAATAAGTTTTAATTTTAATTTTGTTTGAAGAAATGATAATTAGTAATTAACATTAATTAATTATTTTCTCAAAAAAAAAAAAAAAAAAAAAAAAAAACTAAAAATTAAACCAGACCCTAGCTCCACCGCGACCTACCCTAGCCACCTCCTTGCCCCTAACATCGGTCCAGACGACGCCCACCGCCGCCATAACCTCAGCGACCAGACCCCAGCCCTACCGCGCCGTTTGTTTAGGGTAAAATTACCCATGACAAATGGACCAATCCGGACCTGCCACGTGTCCACCACGTGGGCCAATCAGCGTTCGCCACTTGTCACCCTAAGAGGTCCAACATGGACTAATCAGGTCACATCATGTGGCCCATTATCCGCCAACCTGGAAAACGGCCATCGCAGGCCCAATTCCCGAGGCAAGCCCAATCAGTCCTAGGTTTTCCCAGAAAACCTAGTATTGGGCACATACTTCGAGGCTATATAAGCATGTCATTAGCCTCCATAAACAAGGGAATCATCTCACCTAGAGAAGTCTAAACACATTGATCACTCCTCCCCTAGAGGAACCAGATCTCCCACCTTTACTTTCCGCATTTATTACTCCTCAAACAAGTACTAACTTGATCGTTGGAGGCGGAGCTCCCACCACAAGGAGTATCCGTTTGTTTTGCAGGTACAGGCGTCCGGTTCCAGTCCCAGAATTGTAACTCTCCCGCAGGACATCAAAAAACCCCGAAACACCGTTCGCCGACCCTCCCCTACCCTCTTATGTTGCCACTAAACCACCATAAACATGACCGAAATTAAGGTGTGGGAAGGGGAGAAGAGCCGAAATCGAGGCGTTTGAAGGGGATAGGGGCTGGGATCGGGACGCAAAAGGGCGTGTGGGATGGTTTTGCGGCTCGCCGGAACTTCGCCTGGGCTTTTCTAAAAACTGCCTAGGTGTTCGTGAGGGAGGGGGTTGGTGGTTCTGGGGAGGGGGAGGGGGGTTCGGCGCTTTGGTTGGGGCTAGGTGGCCGGAGACGCAGGGCAGGGGATTGGGCTCAGGTGACAACTGGGGTGGTAGGTGGTTTTTTTTATTTTTTTAATTTTTTAATTTTTCTTCAAAAACATCTAACTTTTTAAAATATTTTATTTTATTTTTATTTTTTTGGCCAATCACAGACTGCCACGTGTCAGGTAATTTGTTATAACAGGTTACATGACCGGTTGTGACCATTTTGAGCGGATTGGATATAAAGGTCGGATTATTTTAAATTAACTCAAAGGTGAGATTATTTTGGGCGGATGCCCCAAAAGTGGGATTATTCTAGGCAATTTTTCCATTGATATTCATCACAAATTAAGTAATTCAATTGATATTTATCACAACTACATAAAAAGAATTCAAATAACCAAAGAAAAACTCATCATGATCAACAAAATCAAACAAATTACAATTACAAATTGACAAAATATTTGAGGAGATAGTGAAATAAATACTTGAGGAGGGAGAAATTGCTGGAGAAAGCAATTGATTGTGAATTGCAAGCAATCATCATTTAGGAGCTTGATTTATTAATTAAGCACTAAAATAAGGAAATAAAAAACAAAATATAGATTTAAAATGAATTTAATTAGCGAAAGGGAGAATATGGAGCGATGGATGATTTGGATCAACAAGTATTTTAGGAGGAGGATAAAAGGCGCGTGCGTTTTCTTAGAAAATTGCTGGTTAGAGGGTGGTACAGCCAACTCAGCTAAGAATTATCAAGATCATTCTTCCACTTCAACTATGACTAAACTCATCCATGCCTATAATCTTGTACTCCCAATGGTTGCTCACAATTTTTGGTCATCCCTTTTCATGTGTTAGAAAAAGATATATTCCTCACTTAAAGGCTTTGTTCTCTTCGTCATATTTTTGCTTAATTGAAATTATTTTTACTGAATTGGAATATATTTTTTAGCGATTAAAATTTATTTTTACTAATTTTTTGTTATATTTGTTCTTTATAATTATTGACTTTTACCGATTAAAATGTATTTTTTTATTATACTGAAATTATTTTTGGTGAACCATAATTATTTTTATTGAATATTATTATCTTAAGGTGAAGAGAACAGGTTCTAAATTTTCTCTTTTATAAATTTATAATTATTTTTTCACATTTTTTTTTTCATCATATCCAACCCAAATGAGCAACTAATGGGTCTAGGGGATGGAGGAGAAGAGAGAAAGGGGGGTGGTGATTGGTGAAGGGAAAGAGATGGAAAGAGAGTAAAAGGGGGTCGCCATGAGTAAGTATAGCCCATTACCAGGTATGGGCTCATACTTGTCCATACCATAATATAAAATTATTTTTCAAATAACTTTTTAATGTTAATGAAAATAGAAAAGGTAAAAGAAGAGTTAAAAAGCATAACCAAAAACAGAAGAGTGATCAATGCTATGAAGTACTTCTTGCTGGAGTTTGATTCTCATCGGAGTTGTAGTACTCTTCATCCACAAGGAGCGATGTTCGATTTACCGGAGGTGTGAATTTTGTGGCAATAATTTATTTAGAGTTTAAATGATGAAAGATAGTAAAGTCGAAGGGTGGCGAAAGATTTTCGTGGTCTTCCAACATAGATAAGTTCCTTGTCGGAGACGCAAACTTAAGACTCCAGCCATTAAAAACGGTGAATTCTATGCTTGAAATTGTCAAAGTTCGATTGAAATTGACGAAGTTAATTGTTTGTCGGTGCTCAGCTATTATTAACTTGTATACTGTTATTATTGGTTTGTATATTGTTATTCTTGATTTGTATACTATTATTCTTGTTTTGTATACTGTTTTTGTTGAATTACCAACCATTATCCAATAAATTATTTCTGGTGAATTTTAAGTTTTTGTCGGTGCTCGGTTATTTTTTACTTGTATACTGTTATTATTGATTTGTGTATTGTTATGGTTGATTGTATAAAGTTATTATAGAGTTGAATACTGTTATTAAGAGGAGAGAGACTAGTTTTTACAGCATAGTAAGCATCACGCGAAATTACATTTTTACCCTCGGTATGGGCCCAACGAGCCCATACCTGGTAGCGGTCTATCACTACTCGGTTGCTATGGTGAAGGGAAAGGATAGAGAAAATAAATTAAAGTGATTGGAGGACTTTTGTTTGGTTCAAACTAATTATGTCTGAAATAATATTATTGGAACTTAACTTATAGTTCATATGTTTATTTTTAGTTGCAACACTTCTTAATTTGCACTATTTACATTCTTACACTTAATCTTATTTATTGATTTTATGTTTTGGGAAAAATGTAGTCAAGTGGATCTAGTTATATTTGTCTCAATTTATATTTTTTTCACAATATCTATATTTTATATATAATTCTTGTACATATCTATAATTAGGGATAGTCGGATTAAAATTGTGCATTAACAAGCGTAAAAGTAAAAGAATTGCAACTAATAGTGAACGAAAAATGTACAAAATATTGTCTAAACTTATTTGATATTATCAAAATTATACTTTATAAATATTCGTAAATTGTTCCTATTATATATGAAGGTTTTTTTTTTTTTTTTGGATAGAGGAATTGTAGTGTTTGTTTAGAGCGATGGAGATCAAAAGGGGGTTAGGGATAGGGATTAAAACACCCACTTATCCCTCCATTTCTATAACTAAGGGGGGGTATAAAGGGAAGTGATAAGTAATGGGTATTAAAAGACCAAATTACCCTTAATGAAATTGAAAGGGTAAAGAGAAAGGGTAAAAGTTAGTAAGGGTATTTTTATAAATTTATTACTTATCCCTAATTTGTTTCCCATACTTATCAAACATGAGATCAATTTTTTTTATTCTTGCCCCACCTATCAATCCCCTATCTTTATCCTCCCTTCTTATCCCTCTTATTTCCATCCCTCCAACCAAACGTCTATGTGAGGTTATTTAAAAATTAGAATAAGATAAAACATGCCCCAAATCTTCTAGTTCAATATTAGTACAACACCAAAGTGGAGTGTTGCCACGAAAGAGGCACTACAAAGTACCAAAAAAATGCCTGAGGCTTGTATGATATGATTGATATCAAGGAAAGATGTGATGAGAGCATGAGACAAATATTGGTCATTAAATTAAAATATTCACTTTCCCAACTTCAATCTATTTTTTATTATTTTGTGATTGATTGTAGACCTGTGTTCTTTGCCTTTGATTTACAATAAAGAGAGGAAAAACACCCCCCCTATAAGTGTCATTAGTAAGCTAATCCGGGATAGGAAGGCGAATGAAAAGCTAGTAAGACACCTTTTCTTAAAACACCATATATAATCTATTGATCTATATAACTGCTTCGTCAACACAAGCATAACACTACTGGGTTACTAACATCCAATATCCAAATCAGGTAACTAACTTTGCATCGCAGAAAAGTTAAGCAGCCCAAAGGTTTTAATACAAGTCCAAAATCACTAACAATAAAACAGCAAAAGGATATTCTGCTAGGATGTCGACCTTGTAGACCATATGCTGCACAACTTAATGTTGGGATGCCACAGTATATACAGTATTAACCAGTCAATCTTTACCCGTCAAGACCATGCTCTATACAATCCGAGCAGGTGTCACGATAGCAGTCGAACACTATATCTGGAGTTTCTCCACACAAGCAGAAATCTGCAAGAGAGGCCTACTATACTGTGCTGCCTAACAACCGACATTGATATTAGCTTTATTCTCGATTTGGTCAACTCTATCTGCAAGGAAAGCTTGCATCTCCAACTGAGCGGCAACTAACCTCTCCTGTGCAATATCCAAAACAGTCGAAGCCCTCTTTGAAAATTTACCCTAGAAGACCTCTTCCAGTGATTAATACACTGATCTGACAGCCAAATGCCATCACCAGTCCACAGCCCTGACTATTCACAAAAGAAGACAATCCCTATTCAAGCAGAACTTCATCACCATAGGTGATTGGCAAGTGTAAACTCTGGAAAGTAAAATGAATATATCAGTGCAAACACCACATTATGATTGAACTACTGAAGTAACGCTGCTGAAGACTGTATTCCTACATAATACGAGCCTAATTCATGAAACGCCTCCATAGTATAGGGATTTTTACACAATCAGAATATGAAAAGACTCAACGCCCTTAGCTGTTGTATTACAGCGAATGACCCTATTAGTTATGTATCAGCAGTACATAAGATACGACAAGAGTTGATAAAAATGAGCAGGACCCATCAGTATGATACAAGTCATACAACAGGCAAAATTATCCCTATTCCTAAATTACATTCTTGTTTACGTTATGAGGTCAAATCTAGATAAAAAAAATAAACATATTTATTAAAAAAAAAAAAATTCATGATGTTATTTTGCATGCTTTTTTCATATTTTAAAGGACAATAGGTAATATTAGAGAAAGGCCATGAAGGTCACATGGGCATATCAAGAGGAGTTAAATCAAGCTTAATAGACTTGAAAGTAATATGGATGCTACTACAATGAAGACAGATTCAAATTAGAATTCTAAGACAATATACCTACACCTTTCCAGCAAATTTTGCTCCATCAGAACTCTAATTATTTATGATACTCAGAAGGCAAGCGTTTAGATGGTTTTAGAAACTCAAACAATACAGTGAATATTTTAGTAACCCGTGAATTAAGACGGAAAACTCACCCTATGAAGACATGTTTAGGAACCTGAGGCTGACTTCTGGACCCACACTTGCTTCTGCATATTGGAACAACCCAATGAAAACAGAGAGAAAAAAAAGCATGTAATACAATGTAACGGTTAAAGGGCACTAAAAGCAACTGGTACGAGGATGGTGAGCACAGAAATGAGTAGAGAGATAGCGGGCCCTTTAGAATTGAAAAAGTGGGGGAGGGGGATGCTAGATAGTTTAATATAGCAAACCTCATGATGAGCATGGCCAACTCCTCCTCCGCGTTTGGATGGCCCATCATCCTTAGTGTGTGTTGGACCACGACGAGCAAAATTCCTATGGGAGCCTGGTACATAATTCAGTATTAAATTACTAGACATAAATAACTTGGCATGCTCCTAGGACAGGGAAAGACGCGTTTTCCCTTAAACCCTGACTCAATATGTATACATACTAAAGGAAAGGCAGAAAAAACTGGATGTCAAAACTAGCATAAAAATTGAACACACCATTTTCTGCATATGAGCTGTTGCGACCACCTGCAGTGACTATGCCTTCAACATTACGGCCAGATGCATCATATTTCGAGTCTCCACGTTTAGCTGGAATATTAAAAGACAAGATAGCATTTAAATTGCAAAGTCTTCAATAAGCCTTCACTTCAATCCTTGATTTAGAGAGCACAGACAGAAGTTGACAGTCTACTAATTCAGAGAAGCTCTACAACTCACTAACAAATTAAATTTCTTTATCTCAACTAAGATAATTTGGACATTTGGTTCTCCTCCGTAATTATGGTTACATGCGTGATGCACAGAATTATGTTTACAGCAGAAAATCCATGCTAAATTCAGCTCTATAAGTTTCCTAGCTTTGCAATTAATTCTTCTATAATTCTCTCAAATCAGTCTTTAATATAGATTAAATTCAAAACCTGTCCCTTCTGCTGTAGTCTCTTGAGACAACTTTCCTATTTCCATTACGATTACTTCTCCATTGATATTTCAAGATGTAGGTAAATCCACACAATGACATTGCTATGAACTAACATAGCTTGAGCATCCATCATCAATAGCAGAAAATAGGAAGAAAATGAAATTTGAATTACAGCATTTTTTTGATAATTCCACATTATTGAGGTGGATTCTCTCCCAAATTAGCCTTCTAAAGCCAACTCATATCATTCAACAATATTCAACATCATTATCTCTAATTACTTCTATTTATAGAACATTTCCCTAACAATCTAACAACTTTATCATAACTCTACTCCACTCTACTCCCTAAATTGCCCCTCTTCCCTAATATCAGTTTATTGCAGACATAAAAGAACAACCACATTAGATTAAGTAAACATATATTTATAATACCTTCATAAGAATCTGAAATATTACTTTGATTCTCATTGCTAATCTGAGAAGAATCAGGACGGCGAGGTGTCCAGACACCACGATCAAGTCTTTCCCTACTTCTTGTACGTCTGTCTTGCTTTTCACGGCCAACACCATGGGGTTCACCTCCTGAAGGTTTTTCCTCATTAGACCTCTTTCCCATATAATCCACACCCGAAGGAGGCTGTTCACCAGTGGAGGCTGGCATTCCTGATTTCATATTGGATGGTCGTGGTGGACGCTTGCTCCTCTCTAAATTTGAGCCCTGAAGTTTGTGCTCTGTCTGGACAGATGAGGATGACTGACTTGGACGAAGTTCCTTGTTTAATAATATGCTTCTAATAATTCTTCCACTAGCATCAGGCCTTTGATTTAATTTCAAACCAACTGAAGGCGATGAAGCATCAGAGACGACAACCTTGGGCAGGGTAGTACCTTCAGATGCCTAACACACAAAATCTTTCCATTTAGCTCCCCTTATATGGTTAAATAAATTAAACAGTACAAATATTCAGATTTCCATCAATATCTCATAAAAAGAATCAACAGTTAAAAAGTTAATGAGCTTCCTAATTATCTCCCAAAAGCATTTTAGGAATCCTTTTAACCTCCAACCAAAAAGCAGTTCCTTCGCGTCCTTCACAAAGGAATTACCATATCATTCGTCCTCAAATGCAAGTGTTTTCACAAGTTTGTGACTCAGTGACACATTGAGTCATAGATTTATAAGATGCCTAATATGAATCAAAGGAATACATATTTACAGCAGGCCCCACAATAGCAACTAAAAAAAAAAGCAGCTTTACAAATATAGATGTTAAAGAATCTAAAGTGAGCATAGAAAATATTATAAACAGGTAAAGAATGAGGAATGGCCTTGACAGAGAGTACAAAATAGAGTTCAAGAAGCCTTCCTGGAGACTCAATTAAACCCCAGCACAGTGAAAGCTTCACTTAATAATTTGTTTTCTTCAAGGTAAAATTTTAATTATTATTGTTTCTCTAATTATATGAAAGTTAGGCAAAGTAATATTAAAACTTAGCAGATTTAATTTAATACCTACAAAATTCCAAAAACACAAGAATATAACATTATAACTTAATACCTACACGTCAAATTACATAATTGTTGATATCTACTTCAATAATGAACCATTGGTTTGACTCAATAACTAAATCCATACAAAATGTAAATTGAGGGAACGCAAGTAAATAGGGTCACAAAAAATTGAAAGTGAATGTCTGTCGTTAACTTAAAATGCATCATAAGCTTTTGTTAAGAAACATCAATATTTAATACACATAGGGCTAATGAAAGAAAGAGCTGATGAAGATTACTGAAATATTGAAGAAATAGGTATGTTCGGCAGTGAAGATAAAATCCCAAGTGCGTCCATAAGGAGCTTTCCAAATATTATTACATATAATCACTACTATTCCATAAATATCGACCTTGTACCATAAAAGTCGTAGCAATTAAGAATATTGTTTTAGGAGATTTGGCATCACAAAAGCTATCACCTAATCTGATTGTTAAAAAGACTGTCAAAGATATGGTTTTAGGTTGATATTGCCACAATTTAGTAACACGTCAGCATATTGCAATCTTAAATTCGTAATTTTCGTATGCATGATAATAGCATAAAAAATATTCAGAATACAGTTTGGTCAATTGACTCAATTCTTTATCGATTGTGAGAAAGATGCAGGTCTCAATTATTTTGCTAGATTCAAAAAGATTACAAGAATAGATAACAGCTATCCTCAAAGCTCAGCAACTTCCCCAAAATCTACACTCCAATTGACTTCACACTTCTTATGCTGAAAACAGCAATACAGGAAACATGTAGTTCTGACCCATGTTACCTTGATATGGCATATCACTAGGCATACTATAACAAAAAGGGCTGAAACATATTCCCAACCAAATCATCTTTACTAGTATATATATACACAAGAACCACAAATAAATCGTTTTTAGGAGAAAGGGAATTGCTATAGCATAATTACTTCCTCCATTTTTTTTAGATGCATCACTATTAAAATCATGGACTCTTAGGCAATTTTTGGAGAGAGATAGAGAGAACAAAAAAAGATGACCCACGTGATATGAGAGAGATATAGAGTATTTGTTAACTAAAAAGGAAATTGATGCACCTATATTGAAACTTCCATACATAGAAAGTGATGCATCTTAAAATAACGGAGGAAATCTTCAACTTTAAAAGCAGTATGACTGCTTTGATGTATTAAAGTCTTACTTAATACTATCCAACAATCTAGCAGTAATAAAAAAAACAAAATCTTTGCATCAATAAGTCTCCTAAATAGTAATTCTTATCTTTCTACCTCCTACAATTCATGGAATAAAGAACCCATGCTTTTCAAAAACAGATTAAGAACCCTATTTTGTTAACATCATACTCTATCCCCCAAAAAACCTCTGATTTCCTTGCAACACATAGCTTTAGCTGAATTATTGGTAGTGGGGCTTTGTTGAGTATAGATGTATAAAAAATAAAAATGGATTGAAATGCATTGAAAAGAGAAGGAAAATAATAGGAAGAAAACAGAAGGAAAAGAAAAATTATTACATTTATTGGACCCAACCAAAAGGAGATATGTGAAGTTATTTGGGACAGCTAAAAGGTAGAAATGGAAATTTTAATAAGTGGAATAAATTAAGAAAGGATCGGCAGCAGTGGGTTTTGAGGTGGATGATGAGCGGTGGTTTAAGGTAACTGGTGTATGATGGTGCTGTTGGGCAGTGAGCAGTGGCAGCGTGCTGATGGTTGGTGAGGTGGGGTCAGGCAGTGGTGAAATGTGATAAGTGATCAACGTTAGTCAAATATGGTTGGGTGTAGAGGACTTTGGGAGTAAGCATGATTTCTTAGAAGGGTAGGATACATGGCAGAAGGAAGTGGGGGGAAACAAAGGGGTAAAGGGAATGATTAAGAAGGCTAAACAAACAACATATAAGGTAATCAAGGAGGTTGTTTCCCTTATCCTTTCCAGAATACCTTAAACCAAACACCCACTTAATGTTGATAAATAGATCTACAAGGGGAATGATCCACATATGTTGTATGACTTCAAGCAAAGCATAAGTTTAGAATGATCAACTTGGGTCTTAATGATATTTTGTTGGAAATGGCAAATCAAACAAGTGCAATAACCATCAAGCATTAAAAGAATACGCAAAAACCTTCTAATCAGGATTTACAAGAGCCATTGAAAACCATCATCCACACCAATGGCATCAAATGAAAAGTTGCAGCAAGAAGGTGGTAGTATTGTACAGCAAAAGTGGATGCAAACACATACTTAAAAGAAAATAAGGATAGGGAAAAAACTCTCCCTAAATAATAAATGACAAAATAGAGTTAAAAGTTTCAGGCCTCCAACAGTACTTGATTTAAAGAAGACAGGACATCATGTAAGCAGTGAACAAGTGTCTAGATACACAAGTGAGCCCAGAAATCCACTTTGAAATAAAACGGAAGATCTGGGTCAAGAGAATAAAGGGCTACAACAATCTTTTTGAGAAATTTGTCAACTTCATCCTTCGCAGAAAAAATAATCCCCAGATGAAAGATATCAGTAAATGGCATCATTTCTTCCAAGGACAGGGTTAAAAGAGCCAGCAGTATGCTTACTAAAGCTATCAGAGCAGGTAAGATTCATAGTCAAAACATCTCTGGAATAATCAAGCTCGGCACATGAATATTTTGCTGGCAGATCACTGAAAAACAAGTTTAGTGTTATAAAAATGCAGAGCACCAGCACTACAAAATTCTCCCAAAGATCATTTCTACTATTTTTTCCTGGTCAACCCTCTTCACCAACAACCACAAACCTGCATAATCCTCCCTTAAAAACAAAAGTCAATAAAATTAACTCGCCTTCTTGAGGTGAGTCATAATCATGTAGTCTTGACTTATGAAAACAAATATTGACCAAATTTTAGAACTAGGGATCATCATCCAAACCCTATACCTACAAATCAAGGTATCAATTAATGAAGAATAACTTAGTAAGATGACCCTCACTGTGGTACTTTAAAAGTTCATCAATGATTGAGCAGTGGCCAGAGAGAGATATGGGAGAAAATAGCACTTAGTTAAAGAGCTGAACACATTGCGGACATTAGAAGATTGGGGAGAGAGTAATAATGCTTACAGATAAGAGTCCGTGAATGGATAAAAAGGCATGTAGGCTTCAGGGTTATTCCAGTTTTCTATCTTATTTTATGACTTTGTATCAGGCTTTTTCTCATAGTCCAATTATCAAGTCTTTTAATATATCTTCACACATAAAAGATGACATAAGATATCCATTCAAGAAAATCACACACACACACGTAAAGAACAACAATACAAAGAGACCTGGAAGCTCTGTAACAAAAACTACTTAAGAAAAACAACATGCAATTACCAAAATGCATCCATCAACAAAAAAATGAGAAATTCCCACAAAAAATATCTACCCTGCGCTAGAAAACCAGCCTAATCTAAAGCTAAACATAATAGTGGCCTTTTAAAATTATACTGTTCCTCTCAAGCCACAACATGAACAGCCACCAGCCAGTGTGTTTTTATTCCAAAACCTCAGTCCTTACGCAACCTAGTTTGTCTTAAAAAGCCATGGTGGACAAAATAAATTCAATTTAGCCCTATAAGAAACAGGAACTACTAAGCAACCAAAGAATAAAGCATTGGGTGCTTTTTAAAAGAAAAAAAAAATACTTTTCTCTGCAACCACCTGCAATTTAGATACAAAAATCCCCCTAGCACCTACTGCCAATAGAAGAAAGGACAAGCACAGACAACTGAGGAGAGCCTAAATAAATAACTAAATAAAGATCCAGAAGAGAATAGAAATGAAATTCAGCCCAAAAACACACAGTTAAACAGGGAAAGAGGTGAGGAGATGTCATGTTTTACGCAGTGCATCAAAAGAGATACAAATAAGTGTTAGTCACAAAGAAAGACCAAAAATCAAACTGATTACTTGCCTGATGAATCTCTTGCTCTTTCCCTTTCAAAAGCAGAATCCTTTTCTTTGTAGTCTCATGAGAACCACTTCCTATCAATTTATATCAAGACTGATTAAAACCACAAAAAAGTGTGACATGCTTAATCAATTTATATCAACACTATATTCTTCCAACATGCTTCCTTAACGAGCCATTATTTCTCATTACTGATAGGATCAATGCAACAAATCACCAACAACCTAGAGCATCTAAAATAAATTGTAAATCAATATGCAATCTAAATTAAATTGCATATCAGTATGCCATAGTATGCTATACAAGTACATCAACTCCCACTGAATTAACTCAGCAATATTCCAAGGGACTCCATAGTCCATATACTTTATCTTACTTTCTCTAAAATGGTGACAATTAAAAAGAAAATAGACCATATTAAAACCATAATTAAACATACCTGTTTCATTCTCTGCTACTCCTTTTTTGCTGGAAGCATCCACTTCGTTATTTCTCTGAGACACAAGAACACATGCTGATTTGTCTTTTCCATTTGTTCTCTTCCCATTATTTTTTAAGACATACTACAATTTACAAAAATAAGATATAAAATCATTTTAGCCACCTATACTTACGTTTCATAAAGTGTTAAAATTAAGACGTAGTTGATATGTAGCTTCTTTAGATCATTCTAATAGTGTCACGGTCAAGGGAAAAAAAAAAAAGACAAGACAAACAACAGCAAAAATCACATAAACTGTTGCTTCAGCAAGCAATGTTTTCCCAGATCATCCAAGGAGATGAATATTGGTATAATAGAATGTAGCTAGACATGCTGATGATACAGAATATAAGTAGGTTCATGAAACCATTGAGAGTATAGATGACAGCATTCTACTCATAGCAAGTGAGCTAACCGAGTTTTAATGGTTGAAACTTGGGCAATATGTTCTGCCAAGAAACAAACATTTACTAAGTCACATCTCAAGATGAGTATAAGACCCAGTTATCCAGAAAATGAGACCCCTACATGGAGAAACTTTTTCTAAGACCAAGAGGTAGGGAAGGGTGGCAGTGAAACTGAGAAAAAATACATCTGAGACAGATAAAAAGAATCAGCAATTAGAGTAGACTAAAAAAATCACCCATTGAAATTTTTAGGAGCCTTTTTCATTTCTTTATGATGATTAAGGACAGATGAAATGAACAAAAAGGATGATGTAGCTAACAATATAAACGATGAGAATCAAATACTAAACAGCTGAAGCAGGCACCAAAAGGCCCTCAACACGAGAGCACGGAAAGAGTAGAGCAACGGAATTTTCTAAGCAGAAAACAAAGAAGAGGCAGAAGAAAATTTATGAAGAAACCTGAGAATCCGCAGCAGTCTGTCTTTAAAAAGTGTACCATACCTTGAGTTTGTAAATGGCACCCTCCCTTTAACATGCCTTAGATTCTATACTTCCATTATACTCAAGAAAACTTACAATAACCCAATGCAGACCTCTACCACATACAAACTTTTCTAGAATTGGATCTAGAACATCCAATTCTATATCAGAGGACAAGGGTGGAGCATATAAAAAGAAAATTCTAGAATTCTTCAGCTCAAACAGGTGATTCATTCATAAAACTCAAACAGGTGATTCATTCATAAAACTCAAACAGGTGATTCATTCATGAAATTCATGGAGGACACAAAACTGTACAAATAACAAAAGAAGCTCATAGGGCTAATGGGGGTGCAAGAGGATGAGCTTCCTAGATCCTCAAGTTCAAGACTTAAACTAAATTACTGCATCAAGAAGCAATAACCTTATGAATCTTCCCGACCAACCTGCTCTTGTAAAGAAAATTTCCCAGTAATTTCATTGTGCAATAGGCTTTCTCAAGCCATGCTCTTTACTACAGACCTAGAACCTCTATTTACAGCCTCATGCTACCTAAACCTTAATACAACCTCAAACTTAGCCAACTGCAACCTGATACCTATGAAAAAGACTAGTAATTGAAATGAAATGGGTGTCTTCTAAAGCTCAAACCATTGAGACTATGAATCACCTTAACATCCTATGTCCCTACTTCACTGGTTGGACAAAGCTAGGCTGCCTTGCCTACCAAATTCAACTAAAAGAATGAAATACAAAAGAGAAAGCTAGACATGCAACAGGGTGTAAGGAAGCAATCAAGAATTGTTAGGCAGGGATTTCATTCGTTACAGTTTGCTCCCACAACTTGTTACCTTTGGCTAGAGATCAATGAAGATCTATCACAAAGTGCAGCAATGAGGGAAATTCTGCAGATAGCTCATAAATTAAGGGTCTCAGTTCCTAGTACTTTACTTAACTGGTATGCTGCAAATGATTTTCTGTTTTACTCAGTACAACAATTGCATTGGTAGTCACAACTACAGACAAATTTTTTAGACTTATGGTTTCATACGGTATTTATAGAGCATAATAAATACTCCCTCTGTTTTTATTAAATGCATCACTTGGGTTTGCAGTTTTGCACATTTACCAAAACACAACTTTGATCACTAATATCTTTACTTAGAAATTAGTATAAATTTTTTTTTAAAAAAGATAAGTTATAAAATTAGCTTTTGTGACAGTCTAACAACTTATTACATGATAACAATTATTAAATATCTATTAGTAAATAAAAAAATAAAAATAAAAAAGTCAAAGGTAATATACGAATAGTGCAAAATCCCAAGTAATGCATTTGAAAAAAAAAATAAAAATAAAAACAGAGTAATAAAAAACAAAGGTGGAGCGTACTCCATATTCTTATGTTTACAATCAAATTTCTTATTTACTATATATTCGGAAGCAACCGGCCCACCACCAAAAAAAAGGGTTGTCACAGAAAGGTCAAAATATTTGCAAATCAACATACGTAGCCAAACCCAAGTCTTGTTACAATAAACAAGCTGGCATATAAGTAGCACATGCAACTTCTGAACAGAAATAGCCACACGTCTAAATAGTTCAAAGACCAGAGCTTCATGGAATTATGCTGCTGACAGAGCCACAAATAAATTAAAACCAAAAAAATAAAGATGCTAACCGAGTTTTGCTTGCTGGATCGAGACTTCCCTGAAGCCAACGCAGACCGTCCACGACTCTTTCCATCTGACCCTAGACGCTGTCACCAGTAATGCCAATCCATCAGATGGGAATAAGCTTAGGCAAGTAAAATTCTATCAACAAAGCAAAGACCAAGCATGGCCAAGGAGTTGCACCATCAAGACAAAATGGAAAACTAAGCTATAGTATACAGTAAAAAAAAAAACAAATTAAGTGGAATGCTAATCTTTTTTTTTTCAATGCATTTTCCTCATCATTTTTTGACATTGACACTATGAAACCTCACATGCCACTGAAAACATAAGATCTCACACATACATAAGACTGGAATTGTACACTACAAGTAACCCTGTGCATAAAACTCCCAGATCAGACTACTGGATCAAACTATTGCAATACCCAAAAAACGGTCATATAGTTGTACTAGAGTGGCGCTACCTAGGGGAGCTAACCCTGTTTAAAATGCACTAACCAGCTGTTTGAAAACAATGTTAACCAAAGAACATAACATTCATTTGCTGAAACCACAATCAAGAACTTGAGCATGTCCTTCCAAAAAAGACAAGTGAGCAAATTTGAAGTGTTCTAGAAAATGGAAAGAACCTGATTGCCACCCTTCGCAGCTCTCCTTTTTCGCACATATTCCATCAGCGGTGTGACGATAGGTGCTTCTTGTACACCTAAAAGAAAGTCCAACAGTCACTAATGAATACTAGGCCACACTACCAAACTTTCACAGTCAAGCAGATATGAAAGCAGCTTTTACCAGCTCGTTCGGCTTCTCTTCTTTCCAGCTGTATATCGGCACTAGGAAGATTCTCAACAGGTTTTGAAATCTGCTCAAGGAACTCCACATACTCTGGATCTAATTTCATCAAAAGAACAAAAGAGAGAGATAAATAGATTAATTTGCTTGCTCAAGTACATAAAATGATAAAATAAAAAATTAAAGTACTTGCATTGATTGCCAAACATAATATTTTTAGAAATGTAATAAATAATTAATCAATAGGCCATTGTCTATAGTTTTACACCTTTGTAAATTGTCCCTTCCCGGCCATCTTTCTTGGCATTAGCCTTTGCAACACGTTGAGAAGGAGCATATTCCACTATAGCTTTATATTGAGTTCCTGATTAACATAGAGCAGCGATATAGATTAGCAGTCACAACAGGGAAACAAAAAATCAGCTCATCAAGCTTTCATAGAGGTTTAAAATTACCCTTTTCATTGACAAAAACATGGCCGTTAAAGAACTCAGCAAACTCACAAACATCATCATGACTGTTGAAATTCAGATACGCCCGAGCATACCTCTGATTCTTGTGACTGCAAAATTTAATTCCCGTACTTTTAAGCATAACAACACATATATATATTCAACCAAAATATAAGACAGAATGTTAAAACAAAATCAAAAGAATTATACCAAACCCTGAAGTCACAAATACCCAAGAAAAACACAATGCCTCTACCCCAAACTCAAATCCAACAAAGGACGACATGGTCATCACACCGATAACGTATACTAATTGACATAAACCGAAACCACAAAGTACACAACAACGAAAACCAACACCACAAAGAACACAACCAACGAAAACCGACACCACAAAAGTATGCAACCAACGTAAACCGAAACCCCAAAGTAAACCCTCCCCAAACCCCAAAATCACAAAGCATACGATCAACAAAACCAAAACCACAAACTATACAATCAACGAAACCGAAACCACAAAGTATACAACCAACATGGTCATCAAACCCAGAAATGAAGCATATGAAACGCCAAATTAAACCCTCCCCAACCCCAAAATTGAAATTTTTTAAACAATAATGCCCCAATAACAAAATTAGGATCCAAAAAAAAAAAAAAAAAAAAATCAGAAAAATGGAAAGTGGAGGAGAGAGAAAGAGAACGAACCTAGACTTTCCAGGGCAAAAAGAGGACCAATTGTAACGAGAAGAGAAACGGCCATCGATTTGCTCGAAAAAGGACGACTGTGAGAGAGAAGGGGGCAAGTGCCTTACCACTACTTTGGTTCGATTCAATGGCTCCTTCATCTGAATTCAAAAACCCCAATCAAATCCCTAATTTCGACAATCAAAAACCCTATTTAATTTTTCAATTTTTCTCTATACGATCGAAGACGATTGAATTTCTGCAAGTTTCAGAGGAATGCGTCGACGATTAATTGATGAAAAAATCGAAAGGTTTTTCATTCGTTGGGGTTTTGTGCCCTAATTTGGTGAAAATTGGGGGAGAAGTAACTGGTATATGAACGAATAACGATCCTTTTGATTTTCTTTTCTCTCTCTCTTATTTTCTGCCTGTGTTTATGTGTTAATGTCGGAAAAGGGGAAAAAAGAGGAGAGAGAGACTTGCAATTTTCATCATCATCGTCGTACAATATTGTTACGGGGGTAGCACGGGCAACTTACGGGTTAAAGAAAGCCAACAGATAAAGATGGTTGTGTTTTGTGTCAAGCCTTATATATTGGGTCGGACGAGTTCCAACCAAATATCCAAACCCAGTCACTGTTCAATATGCGTCGTGTGAAGTCGCAGTGGAATTTTCAATAAAGTAGTGTGTCAGGCGCGGACAATTCTTAGATGTGAGGCATAATAAGTAGGCCTGGCAAAAGCTGACTCGACCCGAATCCGACTTGAAAATAACGGGTTAGGGATGAGATTTTCGACCCGAAAACTTAAATGGGTCGACACGAACGCAACCTAAAAATTAAATGGGTTAGGTTAAGGTTGAAAATTCCAACCCGAAAATGACCCACTTAACCCGAAATTATTTTCGGGTCGAAATCAGGTTGGGTCAACCCGAACCCGACCTGATAACCCGAACATGTATTAGTTAGATAGGGAAAAAAAAACCTATTTATTTATGTAATAAAATTCGACCCAACCCAATATAGGTTCTAATAATATCTAAAACCCTAAAATCCCAAATGGCTTTCCTCATACATTCTCATCCGTGATAGGCTCTTTCTCTCTTATGTTTCAATTTTCTCTCTCTTCAACTTTCAAGTTCTCAAGATTTCAAACCTTAAAATCCTTTGTGAGTCGCTCTCCATCTTCGAATTTCCTGATCTCCTTCACATTTTAAACGTTCAACCAAGGTAATTTGCTGATTTCGAATTTTCTTTTATACGTTTTTGTTTTTTTTTTTCTTTTTAAAATACGGTTTTGTTATAGAATTTTGTTATAGAATTTTGTTGTTGATGTTGTTAATGTGCTTAAATTTCTGTTGTTAATTTTTATTGTTGTTGATTTGTTGATATAAATTATACATGTTCATATAATTTTTTATATAATATCTTTTATACAGTTCTGGCAAATTTTTCTTTGATAGTTATCTTTGATTTGTGATCTGAAGGTACTTTGTGGAAGAAGTCAGTTAGATCCAAAGGTAATAGGTTGATGCATGTGCGAAATTTGGGTAAGATCTTAAGCTACTTCAAGTAGAAGCTCACAAATTCAGAAGTTCTGTACATGAGAAAAAATTATGTAAATTATTTGCATTATAAAATGTAAATTATTTATTTATTTATTGCTTTGAATAAATCTATGTAAATTATACGTATGTAATTTGTGAATTTATACATCTGCAAATTTACCATATTAAATTGATTCTAATACGAATTAACAATGCCAAATCTGCCCAAAAAAAAATCAGGTCAATTCAGGTTGATCCGAACCCGAAAAAATCAGGTTCGCGTTGAGCTTTCTGACCCGAAATATTAAACAGGTCAGGTTCAGGTCTGGGGTTTTCAACCCGAAACTGAAATGACCCGAACACGAACCCGACCCGACCTGATCTGTTTGCCAGCCCTAATAACAAGTCTCATATGAGGCAATGTTGATTGTGTTCTATTTACCTGATTTTCAGGTATCTGAACTTATCTTACATGAACTTATCTAAACTTATTTGATCTTATTAAAACTTATTTTAGTTGTAATTTGTATTTGGTTAACCGTTATCGCAACTATTTTTCCTTAACTGAACTTATTTGAACTTACTACACCTAAAATAAGTGAAAATAAGGTGAACATTATTAAAACACAGGCTCGATGTTTGTGTGTCTAAAATTGATGCATGTGTTGTTGTGCAGGTTAGTGTCATCACGTGTTCTATTGTAGTTGCTTATATAATGCTTGTTGCACATATGAGGAAGGCTGTAAGGAATATTTCAAACATCAACTTTGAGCTCCACTGTGATCATGCATTTAAGCATGGTGGCGTCCAAAGGGAAAGAAGCTAGAGCAAAAGAGTCGCCAACAAGTTTTAGGAACTTGTAAATCATCCATGAGTGCGAAGGTTACACTCCATTCACGATTACGGAGATCGCTAACTCCACAGTGGTCCGGAACCATGACTGGATATTCGGGGATGATGGTATGAATCCAACCTAAAAGAGATTGAACCCGCCCTAAATAGGCCTCTACTTTATTCTTATAATATTCATGTACGCTTTTCGATCAACATACATTCATCAATTAATCCTAAGCATATTTAATCTACGTTGGTTGATCATTAATGCACAAAATTATTGGCGATCACTTGAAATTAAAATCATATTAAACCTAAAATCAAATTATTAATTATCTTATTAGGCGTGATATCAAGTACAAATTCCCTTTAAACCTACAAGAAAGGGTGTGATCAAGCAATAACAATAAAGCAACATAATCAAGCAATGTATAATAATTATAATTGACACAACAAATCATCATCATAATAAAGCAATATCTCCAAAATAATATTAGCAAGATCCTAGGCATGATACTAAACAGATTAATAACAAACCCTAGCATGTCACTAAAGATCAAAGCTTTATCCCAAACATGATACTAGAAACATGATATTAAGAATATTAAAATAACACCCTAACATGATACTAGAAATCATAAAAGCATCCTAACATGATACTAGGAATTAATATAATATTCTAAGCATGATTTCTATATCAAAGGAATAATTAAGTAATCGAATTACTTACTTTGATGTCTCGTATCTCTTTCTATTAAAACAATACACACGTTAGTAACTTCAAGAAAGAATAAATCAATAAATCAAATAAGAATTAAAATATAGATTAGGGACCAAACCCTCAGAACTATCAACCTTTCACGTCGAGGTCGAAGGCAACTTCGAGATTGACAAGGAGTATTCAAGTTTCGCAAAGGTCGTATGGTGTGATGTGTTTAGGCTAGGCTTAGAAAGAGATAGAGAGAGAAGCTTATAGCTCATAGAGAGAGGGAGATTAAGATGATGATTGTTGGTGAATGAAAACGGAGGAAAACGTCCCTATTCATAGGAAAAAACAATGGAAATGATCAGAAAATGAGTCAGAATCCGACTCGGAGTAAAACACTTTTCATCGCGTGGCGATGGTTTCATCGCGTTGCGATGCTTATATCGCTGCGCGATATTTGCATCGATGTGCGGTGATACCATCGCCGCGCGATGCTTTTTAGAAGATGAGATTCGTACGGAATCCGACTTCCAATCAAATTGAGTTAGTTGAATGTCCGTACTTATCCTTATTTTATCAGAATTAAATCTATTAAAAACACATGTTTTATCCGAAGTAAAGTTCTTAGTCTTTATCTTTTCAAAAAGAGGATAATTAGAACTTTCTAGAAGATTCTAGAAGCTAATAATCAATCATAAGGGATTTAGGACTCAAAACAACCTTCCAGATAATTCTAGAAGCTTATGATAAATCCTAATGGTTTTAGAAATAGAGTTAAGATAAATGGACCCTCCACATGATCATTGGATCCGCAGATAAGGCTCGGTTTGGACCCAGTTTAGTATTTTGGCCATAACTTCTTTGTTATAACTCGGATTTGGGCTTATAATATATCGTTGGAAAGCTCTTTTCTACCCCATCCAACTACACAATTATTGGACCCACATTAAGGATCAAAATAAACTGGTTTGGACGTTTATATAAAAAAGGACAGGAAAAGAATGATTTTCAAAGACACGAAATGAATAATTTTGGGTTAAAACATTTAAAGAAAGGTTAGAAATGGTCAAGACTAAAGGGAACTTCACGAGACTCTTCAACTCTTCACCTAACTCGATAATCAAAGACGTGAAAGGTACTCATCGTTGGGTTTGGTTTTTGGGGAGACACAATCAGGTGTCTACGAAGGCTAACTTAAATCAAGCATTAACAATTCAGGTGTTGCACACGTGATCTCCGCTCGTCCCATGACAAGCAGCTTGAATACAGTTCAATCTTTTGTGTCACCATATCGTGTCGTGCGTCTCCATACCATATACATGCTTGCATGTCTAAGGCAAATTCAACATAATTTAGGGTGCGTTCTCTTCACCTTATTGAACCTAAATTTATCTGGACTGAACTTATCTGAACTTATTAAACCTTATTGAAATTATTGAAACTTGTTAGACGTGATTGAACTTATTGGAACATATTAGACCTTATTAAACTTATTATAACTTATTAGACCTGATTGAAACTTATTATTATTATCATTTATTTTCTAATCTGCTAAACTAATAAATAAAATATCTAACTAATCTTTTATAATCCAAAGCTGTTTAGGGTAAAAAATACCCTGACGCGTGGCCCAATCCTACTGTGACACGTGTCCTAATAAATGGGTGACACGTGTCCCAATAAGAAGCTGACGCATGTCAAACATAATAGCACCTAAAATGAGAGAAAAAGGCCCCCTTACATCAGGAGGCCCATGTCCCAAGAAAGCTGCAAAACGGCGCCCCTAAAGGATACGTGCCCTCACCTGATTGCACCGCCAATTAGAGCACACTATTCTAGGTCATCAGAACCTAGATGACACACTGTCCCAATCCTATAAATACCCCAATCAATTATGATGGGAGGGGTGGATTAAGACATATCATTCAAGAGCACTAAATTTCTCCAACTTCTCTCTACTTTTTCTCTCTACATTACTTCGTTTTCTGATCACTAACTAGATCGCCGGAGGCGAATATTCCGTCAACCGGAATATTCATTGTTTTGCACGTGTCCGAGTCCATCCGGCCGTGTTCAAGACCTGTATCCCGAGAGATTCCAAAAAACCCCGAAACATTTGGCACCGTCTGTGGGGATACACGTCTGGAATGACTAAAGATGGTCAGACAACTGGTCCTGGTGAGGACGGGCACGTAGAGAATATCATCGCAACAATCAACACTAGCGACCCTCTGACCTCTTCATTCCATGAGGCAGAGGATCCCCCGATCACTACTGCTTCCTTGAAGGCCGCCTTGAAAAAGCTTCAGAAGGGGCTTGAGAGTAAGATCCTCTCTTCTTCTAGACAGCCATCCAGAAGAGAAGGAGAGGGTATCCGAAAGAAACCCCAGGGCAGGACGACCAATACTGAGGATGTTGGGAATACCCCATTCAGACGACATGCAAGGTCACCAAGGGTGCCTCGGATGAACTGGTCCAGGCTACTTGAGAAAACACAATCGGCTGGGGGCGGACCAAGCGGCCTCAGCGTCAGCCGAATGAGTCGTCCCAGCGCTGGAAGGATGCTAAACACTATCTTCGGCACAAGCGGCAGGAGCAAGCACACTACTCGGACACTGCCTCTACTCCTACCATGCCGGATGATTTCTCCAACCACACCCTCTCCAAGCATACCAGCTCGGCCAGGACCAGCAGGAGTCAAGCTCACCGTACTCCAACTCCAGTTCCTTTAACTCAAACACTTCAGTTTTAGATGCCCTAGAATTGTGGTGCAATTCTGCCGCCTATTCCCCCTGTCTATGGACAGTACGGGCCATATGGTCAGCCGTACGACCAGGCAGCATACTTGGGCTGATCGGCCGCACAACCTCAGCGTACTGATTGGCAAATGCGCTTGTTAAATCTTGTTGATAAGCCGCCTCTGTTTTCTTAAGAAATTCTCAACTCCCCTCAGCCAGCTAAAGTGAAGAGTGTACTTGTGGGTGCCTATGATGGTACGGGCAACCCGAAAAAGCATGTCACCTCGTACAAAAATCTGATGTACTTACAAAGTGTGGATGATGCCACCTGGTGCAAATGCTTCCTGGCCACCCTCAAGGGTGTGGCACAAGACTGGTTCAACAATCTGTCGGTCGGATGCATCAATTGCTTCACAACTCTGAGCTTATTATTTGTTGGAAACTTCTCCTACAATATTCCACCCCGGAAGACCAGTCTTAACTTGGCATCGTCCAAGGAAAGAAAGAGGGGTTGCGCTCGTACGTTCAGAGGTTCAACTTGGAGAAAGCTCAAATTCAGAATCCACTGGATGAAATGGCCTATTTGGAGTTCCTTCAAGGTTTAAGGCATAATGGTTTCAAGTTTGATCTGATTAGGAAAAAGATTTGGACACACGCAGGTGTTCTGCAGGAGGCTGAATCTTATATTGAGGCAGCTGCTTTTTGTTCTCTTACAAAATCAGAAGAGCCGGCCAATGTAATACCCTAGTATTTTTGAAACGTATTTAATTAATTATTATTTATCTAAAAAGGGTATTTTAGTAATTTATTTTACTATTTGAATTTTGGAGCCAAAATGATATTTGAATTTTGGCGCCAAAAGTATTTTAAAACTTAATTATTTTTGGATTTTGAATTATTCATTTATTTTATTTTAAAAACCGAATTATTTATATATATATTTCAGTTATTTTAATTAAGCAAAATTATATTTTCTTATTTAATTTAAAAGGGCCGAATTTCCCTGATTAATTAGCTAGGATTTTCGGATTTTCTTAGTGTAGAAAATCTGATTGTCTTAGTTAAATTAATTAGTGAATGATTGGTATATTTTCTAATTAATTATTTTATACAAAATATATTATTTACACAATCATTTTTATTCCATAAAAACTAACAAAATAATTGCCTAAATATTTAAAGGGAGGTCCGAAAATATGAGCTTAGGAAAGCTCAAATTTTCGGCCACCATATTGTATTTTAATTATCTTTCTCAATTCTATTATTTTCCTTAATTCTTATTTTCCATCTCCTAAATATTTGATCATCTTATTTCCCTACCTTAAATCATTCTTGATTATTCCCCAAGCAAAGCCGTTTACCATTTAATATTTCATGACTACATAACCTTATGTCTTCAATCCTTAATCACCATAACCTAGACTTTCCATAATTCTTTAGCCCTCTTCTCCAAGTAATTTCCTTAAACCAATTTACCATAATTCTTCCTACATTCTCCTACCATAATTCTTGCATGAGCTAGCCTATAAATACCCCCTCATACCTCTCATATTCTTCACACCAAAAACTCAATTCTCTTCTTCTATCTTACTCTTCTTTTCCCTAAACCTTTTCATACTTTTCTTTCTACTCTTTTCATATATAATCAGCCCGTATATCTTTGGAGCCAATTTTCGGGCACTTCTGGTCAGTTTTGGTATTTCATGGAAAATTGTTCCTCTCAAAAACCTTTGAGGTTAGTCTCAAGAATAACCCGATTCGAAGTTATATTGAAGGAGTTATGGCCTCTACAAGTTCTGCCTATTCTTTCTAACGCAAATTCAATTCTTTTATTTTCTTCATGGTTATTTTTCTAAAATATAAATACTTATTTCAAATCTATAATTTTATATTAAACTATTATTTTTAAAAGATTTTTATAGTCCATGCACATTAGATTTTGGGTTTATGTCTAAAGATGTTGTGATAACCTTATGGTTATGTTAATTGCAAGGTGTATTCGTGATTGAACTTTGAAAGTGCGAAGTGTTGATTGATATTCAAAATCAAGGTACGCTTAGGTGGATAGATACCTTCGAAAGTGATTGGTTTGAATAGCATGTTTTATATGATTTTATTGGTGATTGAATTAAATTGATTTGAATTATGATTAGTGAAACAAAGTATGGTTGGAAGAATTGATTTTAATATTTGTATTAATAAATGTATTTTCAAAGGATTGGTTTTAATATCATGTTTTGAATGGTTTGAAAATATTTATTATGTTTAAAGGAATCTGGTTTTAAAAAGTATGTTGGATTGTTTTAAAGAGCTTTTAAAAAGGTTTTTCAAAGGAAGAGTTATTGATTTTGAAAAGTTATTTGTATGAGATTTAATTCTCAAATATTTATTAAAAGGTTGATTTTGAAAGCATGTTGAATTAAATAAAAAGGAGTTTTGAGTTAACCTATTATAAAGGTTGATTTATTCAAAGAGGAATTTTACAAGGATTTATTGAATTATTTATTAAAAAGCTTTACAAGCATGATTATTATATTAATCCCACTATGCGGATTCATTGAAGGCTACGGACTTTGTATGACCTAGTCTTTCATCAAGAATAGCCTTGAAATAGTAGGAGACTAGCTTGAGGGGTGTGCACACTTATAGAGGAAATTGAGTTTTTAAAAAGAATTGATTTTAATAATCATTATTATTGATTTATTATAATTATTTTGAGAATATTTGAGAATTGGTTTTCAAAAGAGGAATGATAAATGCATAATATACTATATTTTTAGTCCCTTATATTAGTACAATGGCCGCTTTATATTGGTTATTTTATGATTTTATTTACTTTTATTATTTTAGATTTTATTTTATTCATTATTTTATTTTATAGTTATTGTTATAATAAATGATACTTAATTTATGTTGTGTGTTTTTGGTAGGAAAGCAAGAGGAAAATAAATCCCATTTATGTTGCTATTCAAAGGATCATTTGCTTGCTATCATCAAAATATATGAAGAAGGAAGCAAAATATTTGCAAGCACTACGTGGAGAACAACAAGCCCAACAACAAAATAGACTAGCAACACCTAAGTGAAAATAAAAAAAAAAAAAAAAAAGAAAAGAAAAAAAAAAACAAATGGGCACGTGACGTCCTGAAGAAAGCAACAAGCTACGTCAAGCAACATCAAACAATCAGAAACAAGAAGATAGAAATCTATCTTGCTTGCGTGATAACCGAGGCCTCCAAAACTCTGTGTTTATCTTCAAACAACTTCAACAAAATTCAAGCAAAAACAAGAAGATGAAGATCTATCCTAATTCAAGATTCTATCTTTTCATACCTAGAAAACCTAGGATGGTTTTGGGTTATAAAAATCCCAATCATCCCTCCTAAACGGGACAAAAGTTTTACCACGGGACTAACATCAGGAATTTGTGAGGCTTGGCGGAGTACGATTGATCCAAGGTTGATAGATCGCACATACCGGAAGGTGAAGGGACGAGTGACAGCGATGATCTAGCGGCGGTCGTTCGATCGTGGCTCATCAGTTATGAGTTCCCTTCACTCACTCTTAAACTCTTTCAATCTTGTGATTTATGTTGTTGCTTAAACTAAGTTAATTTGATGTAATTTAGTCTTTAATTTTCTAATTTTTAGTTTCACCTTTTACACGCCGAGTTTAATGGGATTTCAATGCTAAGTTTTGTGCTTAATGAATTCACATGGTTATTTGTTCTTACATGCATGTTTGATTAAGCTATACTTGTGGTAGTGCACGATTGCTTGTATGGAGTAATTAAACTATACTAAATTATTACTTGACGCGGCGTTTCTTGATAATTTAGAGGAAATAACTTAGTGATACTAGTTTGAGCGGCTCAAGTTTAGTATTGTTGAGTTTGTGAATTAATCTAATAAAACCAGTTTATTGGGGTAGAATGTATATTAGCAAGAATCTAATTTTAGTGAGCAATATATGTCAAATAGACCGTGGCGGTAATTTGTCTACCTAAATACTAAACTGAGAATTGAAGGAAACTAAAAGGAATGAAGTTTGGAACTAAATTACATCGCTGTATCCTATGATCAAATTAATATATCAATGGTGGTTTGCTTCTCGTCTACTGTAAATAGTAGGTTAATATTTTTTTTTTCTTAGTCTCGTTAGTTTGGTTATCACGATTTAAAACCCCCCATTCTCTTGTACATAATGTAAATAGTTTATTTTTCTAAGTTAACCTTGAGTTTAAAGAGTTCAAATTCTCCTCGTGGGATCGACCTTTGCTTACCCTTTTACTAGTTGTTAATATTTTTGGAGGATAAGTTAGGTAAATAAATAATTAATTTTATACGGAAAACGACACGTAATCAAGGAATTGGTTTTATAAATCGTTTCATCGAATTATTGAATTATTGGAATTGATTTGAAATCATGAGTTTTGGAATTCATTGGATTAATTATTGGAATTGGTTTTAAAAGCATGTTTGCAAATAAATTTAATTTACTTATCTTTTACTTATTGTACTTAGTATATTTTGCTAATCCGTATTTCCTATTTGTTTTGATTCGCCCTGTTTACCTTAATGGTAAGCAGTGTTGACTATTTTCAGGTGGAGTCAAGAATTGAGCATATGGGAGTCCCGGGAATGTTCTTCACCTAGATTAGGAATGTTGGTCTTTGTTTATTTATGAGTACTCATGACGATGGTTTCTATGTATAGTATTATTAATAAAGAAAGAGTTTGAGTTTCCGCTGCAAAGTATTGGTTTTGGTTAGTAGTTTGAGTAGCCTTGCGTAATCATGCGGCGGTAATACGCCTAAGTCTATCTCTACGGTATAATTATACGTATTATACTAGTATTTCCGTGAAGGGAGGTTTGGGGGTGTTACAGCCAAGGGGGCTAAGAAGAAACAATCTTCTCAGCAAGACTTGGCCAGTAAAAAGAAGGAAGGAAACAACAAAAGAAAAGAAGTCTGGGTGGCCGACTGCCAACAAACGAAATCAAAGAAAGCCAAGACATACGAGCCTCAGTACAAGTACAACAAAGATTGTTATTCAATTTTGATGGAAATCAAAGACAAGCTCGAGTTCGAGAAGCCTCAGCCTCCGAGAGGGCCGGCCCAGTACAAAAACAAGAACAAGTACTATCATTACCACAAGGATGTGGGGGATGACACGAACGACTGCAACAATTTGATGAGGCTGCTGGATAAGCTGGCCAAGAAGGGCATGCTCAACTTTTACGTTCTGAAGTCCAAGTTCACCTACTCTCGGACAGACAACAAATCCGAGAAGAAGAAAGAAAAAGAAAAGGATGATGATGGAAATAGCACAGATTTAGGGTTTGTGGCCGTTATATCAGGCGGCTTTGCTGTAGGCGGCCTGACCATGAAGGGAATCAAGCAAGATGCTTGGAATTTTGAGAATGTGATGTACATCGAAGGGGTAAAGGCTGAGCCCTTTCTAGAAGTGACGGTCTACGAGGCAGACCAGGGCAAGATCAAGGCCCCTCACAATGACCCCATGGTGTTCATCTTGAAAGTTGCCAATTTGAAGGTCAAACGAGTGCTAATAGACACAGGCAGCTCGTCCGACATTATCAGTCTAGCATGTTTGAAGAATCTGAAGTACCTAGAGGACGCCCTGAAGGATATCTCCCACCCGTTGGTTGGGTTTGATGGGAGTATTATCCACCCAGTCGGACGAATAGATTTACCCGTCCAATTTGGGTAGAAGGGAGAAGGAAGGGACGTGGTCGTCCGCTTCCTAGTTGTTAAAGAGCTCACGGGCTACAATGTTATCATCGGCCGCCCAACTTTAATATCAGCAAAGGCAGTAATCGTCCCTCATTTGATGCTGATGAAGTTTGAGCGGTCAGATGGGAAGATAGGTTCCATTTAAGGAAATCAGAAGATGGCAAAGGAATGCAATCAGCTGGCTGTGAAGCCAACTGCACACGAACATGGAAAAGTGTCCGAGAAAAATTTTAAAGAAGGGTCACTCCAAGCATACCAAATCGGCAAGAAGCGCTAGTCGATTAAGAAAGAGGAAGCATAGCAGCTAATGACCGTCGGCTGGCCAGAAGAGCTGAGGCCACAGCCGGCCGGCGATCATACGGACATAGGCTTGACCCAGACCAGCCTGATTGGATGGTTAAAGTGGGCACTGTGGCCATAGGCTTACTTGGAGATGACTTGGTAAATCTGTTAAAAGAATTCAGAGATGTGTTTGCTTTTGAAGTTCATGAAATGTCGGGTATCAGTCCAGACTTAGCAGTTCTTAAGTTGGCTGTGAACCCAGCTGTAAAACCTGTTCGTAAGAAGAAGAGGAATCATGGAGAAGAGAGGAATCAGGTGGCCGCGGCTGAAGTTAAAATGCTGCTAGACGCCGGTTTCATTCGGCAATGTTACTACCCTGACTGGGTGGTCAATGTAGTTCTTGTCAAAAAGCCGAATAGAAATTGGAGGATGTGCGTAGATTACACCGACCTCAACAAGGCATGCCCTAAAGATAGTTTTCCCTTGCCTAAAATTGACCGCCTGGTTGATTTAACGGCCGGGCATTAGGGCTGGCAAAAGCTGACCCGACTCGAAAACCCGACCTGAAAATAGTGGGTTTGGGTTGAGATTTTTGACCTACAAACTTAAATGGGTCGACACGAACCTGACCTGATAATTAAATGGGTTAGGTTAAGGTTGAAATTTTCAACCCGAAAATGACCCATCTAACTCGAAAAAAAAAAAAAACTTACAAGAACCCGTAAAAGTTAAATAGCTTTGATGGCCCAAGACCAAATAAAGGTTTTATAAAATCAAAAGCTAAACTCTAAAATCCTATATTTTCTTAACTCTCAGCCGTCACTCTCACTTTCCCTCTCATGTTTCATTTTTTTTTCTCTCTCTTCAGATCTAGAGAATTCAAACAGCTTGAGAGTTGAGACGTTGAGCCATTGTCTGATTGTCCTATGTGAGTCGCACTTCTCCTTCATCGTTCAAGTGTTCAACCTATATCAATCTAAAAGGTAATTTACTGATTTCGGTTTTCATTTTATACGGTTTTGCTTTCATATATTTGTTGTTGTTCTTGTTGATATGCTTAAATTATCTGTTGTTGTTGTTGTTGTTGTTGTTGTTGTTGTTGTTGTTGTTGTTGTTGTTGTTGTTGTTGTTGTTGTTGTTGTGTTGTTGCTGATATAATTTAGATTTATGTTGTCTTGTTGTTACTTTAGATGTTTTATAAACTGATTTAATTTAGATCTTAATATCTTATGCATGTGTGAGCATGTTTTTGTATGTTATTCTTGTATAATTACTTCAGTAGTTTGTTTTTATATTTTTTTTTTTATTTTTTTTTGGCATGATTTATACTGTTATTACTGATTTAATTTAGATTTATGCATGTTATTCTTGTATTGTTACTTTAGTAAATTTTGTTTTAATAGTTTGGTATAATTTTTTGCAGATTTCTTCTTCTTCTGAGGAGGAGATTATTGCATGATGCATCCTTTAATATTGTTTGAGAACTAGAATACAAATTTGTGTTTTAAAATCCTTAGTAGCTTTGTAATTCGTTAAGTAGAACTTCATTTGGCTTGTAATTCGATAAGTAGGACTTTATTTGGCTTGCAATTCACTAAGTAGGACATCATTTTGCTTGTAATTCGTTAAGTAGGATTGTTACTTTGCTAAACCATTTTACTTTGGTTAGGGTTGAAGCATTGAGCCTGTAAACTTGTGTCTTTGAAAATATTAAGTGGTTTGAAATACAAAAAGTTATATGAAAAAAAAATCAGGTTTTTAAGGTCAATTTCAGGTCAATCAACCTGATTTAAACCTAACCAAAAAATCAGGTCAAAACTGGTTAATTTCGGGTTGACCCGAACCCAAAAATATTAGGTTCAAGTTGTGGTTTTGAGCCCGAAAACTTAAATGGATCAGGTTCGGGTTGGAGGGTAGTTGACCCAAAATCAACTGACCCGAACACGAACTCGACCCGACCTGATCTATTTGCCAGCCCTACCGGGCATGCCCTGATGAGCTTTATGGACGCATACTCTGGATTCCACCAAATCCCTTTGTGGAAGAAGATCAAGAAAAAACAGCATTTGTGACCAAGCAGAGGTTGTACTGCTATAAAGTTATGCCATTTGGCTTGAAGAACGCTCTTGCTACATTTCAGAGACTTATGAATACGGTCTTTAGAGATCAGATCGGCTGGAACATGGAGGCTTATATTGATGATATGATTGTTAAATAAAAAAAGGCCGGTTGACCATCTGAGTGACCTTCGAGAAACATTTACCGAACTCAGGCGGCATAAGATGATGTTAAATCCAAAGAAATGTGTCTTTGGTGTTAAGTCTTGCAAATTTCTCGGATTTTTGATTGATCAGCGCGGCATTGAGGCAAACCCTAAAAAGATCCAGGCGGTCTTAGACATGAAATTGCCCAGAACCATAAAAGAAGTTCAAAGATTGACCAGCTGCTTAGTTGCACTCGAACGTTTTATGTCAAGATTAGGGGACAAGTGCCGCTATTTTTTCTAGACTATTAAGAAGAAACCAATGTTCGAGTGGACAGAGGAGGCCGAGGAAGCCTTCGTACAGTTGAAAAATCATTTGCATACCCTTCCTCGGCTCGTCAGTCCACTCAAAGATGAGAAGCTATACATGTACTTGGCCATTTCAAATCACTCCTTGAGTACCGTCCTGTTTGCTGAAAGGGACGGCCATCAGATCCCTGTGTATTTCATTAGCCATGCTCTGCACAATGCCGAGCTTAGGTATCCACCCATTGAAAAGTTCGGCTTGGCATTGTTCATGGCGTTAAAGAAGCTAAGGCCATACTTTCTTGCCCACTCGATTGTGGTCTACATGGACCAACAATTGAAGAAGTCATTCACAACGCAGGAGGCTAGCGGCCGAATGCTTAAATGGGCCTTGGAATTGAGGGGATTTAACATCGCGTTCGAACCTAGAAAAGCAATCAAGGCCAAGCCTTTGCAGATTTCTTGGCCGAAATGACACGGCCAGACTTACAGCCGGCAGGGGATCAGATTTGGAAAGTTTATGTTGATGGAAGTGCAACAGTGACCGGATGCGGCGCAGGTATCATATATCTATCTCCAGAAGGAGATAAGTTTTAATATGCTTTGAGATTTCAGTTTTAAGCCTCCAACAACGAGGCCGAGTATGAGACCCTTCTGGCCGGCCTTAGAATGTGTAAGGCGGTCGGGGTAACAAGAACTGATGCCTGCTCAGACTCTCATCTGATAGTCAGCCAAGTGAATGATGACTACGAGGCTAGGGAGCCTCAATGATGAAGTATTTACAAATGGTGAAAGATGAGGCCGAGAGCCTAGAGCATTCCAGCTACAGGAAGTCCCTCGGTCCGAGAATCATCAGGCGGACGCCCTCTCTTAGCTAGCCTCCTCGGCATCATGTGATAATCTGAGATCTGTGTTGTGGGAGGTCAAGGAAATATGGAGCATTGATGCCGAGCCCGTGAAAATCATTGATAGAAGCTCCAATTGGATGGAAGGAATAATCTCCTATCTCAAAGATGGAGTTCTTCCGGACGACCTAAAAGAGAGTTAGTTGATGAAGAAGAAGGCGGCATGGTTTGAGATAAAGGGAGAGGACTTGTTCAAACGATCATTTGTAAAGCCCTATTTGAAATGTGTTACGCCTGAGAGGAGGCATGAGGTGCTAGATGACCTCCACCAGGGGCATTGCGGATCACACATAGGCAAACGAGCCTTAGCAGAGAAAAGGTTACCCATCAGGGGTGCTACTGGCTGAGCATGAATTCGGATGCCATGGAAATGGTGAAAAAATGTGACAAGTGCCAGAGGTTTGCAACCCTTATTCAGCGCCCGTCAAATAGCTTGTCGGCCATAAGTAATACACTTCCCTTTGCAAAATGGGGCATGGACATCTTGGGGCCGTAATGTCGTATACTCCTGCGTCCGGATAGAGGCGGTATGTGCTAGTAGCAGTCGACTACTTCACAAAGTGGGTAGAAGCCGAGGCCATCCGAGGAATCAAATAGAGAGATGTATCTTCCTTCATCTGGAAGAACATAATACACGTTTTGGCGTGCCGCAATCTATGGTATTCGATAATGGACTACAATTTGAGACCGACCATCTTAGGGATTGGTTGAATGACCAGGGCATAACACACTACTTTGCCTGGGTCAAACGCCCGAAGGCCAATGGCCAAGTTGAAGCATACAACAAGTTGATCTCCAATGGTATCAAGCGGAAGCTTAAGAAAGCAGGCAGCCTTTGGGCCGATGAGTTGGTCAATGTGTTATGGTCCATTCAAACTACAACCAAGAGTTCAACAGGGGAGACCCCATTATTCCTGGTATGTGGTGCAGAGGCCGTGCTCCCAATTAAAATGTATGAGCCCACTCTACGTGTGATGCTATATGATGAATTGGCCAATTGGGAGGCCATGAAGACCGCCCTAGACTTCCTTCCAGAAGCTAGGGGCAATGCGGCGCTTAGACACAAAATTTATCGCCTAAGGATGACAAGGGCGTATAATCGCAAAGTGTCAAAGCGGCCGCTGAAGATTGGAGACTTGGTCTTGAGAAAAATGGAAGCGGTAGGCCGAGCAAAAGAGAATGACAAACTAACCCCAAATTGGGAAGGGCCTTACCGAATTGAAGAAGAAGTCCGAGATGGTACCTACCATCTTGAAGCCTTAGATGGCCGTCCTATTCGCCGTACGTGGAATACGGACAATCTGAAAAATATTATGTATAAATTTTTTGTACTTAACCAAAAGTTGTATATACAACTAGGTCTAAACAACCGATCAATGTAATTAAAGCCATACGGCTAAAAACAATGTAATTTTGACAATACTAATGAAAAAGTCAAACATTGTTATTAAATTCTTGCAATTTATTTTGTATGTTTACTTATTGACGAGCAGAAATGCCGACTAAAAACAAAAACAAGGGTGGCTTGAAACATAGCAGCTCGCCCCCTAACAAGGGCAAAGACGAATAACCAATGCCGCCTAAAAAAAGAAACGAAGCTGCTTGCAACATAGCAGCTCGGCCTCAAAGGGGCACGAATAAACGGCCGGGTAAAATGCCCAAAAAGGGCATTCCCTAGCAAAGCGATTCGGCCATAATGGTCAAAGTGTTAGACACTCCATCCGGCCCTAGACCGGTCGGACGGATGAAACGTAAGGTAGTCCAAAAATTGCCTAAGGTATTTTTACCCTAAGGGCAAGGGCATACTTAGGCATCCAAGCCCTACAAACACTTAGAAATAATCAGGTTGAGATAATCTAACGGGTGCTCTGAGAAATAGCATTAAAGGACAACTCGGCGTGAGCCAGTTAAACGGCCGTATTATTATGATTTGATTAACTTACTAGTTGTCATACCCTTTTATGTATAAAATCTACTAAGTTAATCAAACCTCTTTGAATATGGACTAGGTAAATACCGAATAAAGGGGCATACCCCCACCGAAAAATCATTTGTACGCAAAAGCAAATAAAGGCATGAAATGTTGCTCAAAGATGCTAAGTATGGATGAAAAAAGTTGAAAGAAACTTCATGAATCAAAGCCGTTCAAAACGGTCGGCAAACAAAAAAGAGTATATTACAAAGACCACTCAAAACAGGCGGCAAAAGTTGAAATTGTTACAAACTAATAAAAATGAAGTAGTGAAAGCTTAAACAGCTGCAGAAGAAGAGGATAGCTCCTCATTTAGCCGCCTCCTCACCACCATTTCCAGGGGCCGACTCGCCTTCCTTGGCCGCATCGTCCGTCTTAGCCGGCTCATCATCCTTGGCAAGCTCTTCCTTTTCCTCCTCCCCGTCTTCATCATGATCAATTTGGGCAGGGGAGGAGGTGGCTACGAATGGAGGGACAGGCTCCCCAACGGCTTGGCACTCCTCCTTGAAAGTGACATAGTCCAATCGGCTGGTGAAGCGCTCTAGGTAGTAGTCGATTTTGCTGACGTCAACCATCATAGAGAAGGCCTCCTCAAATCAATTCTTGAACCGAGTGATGGCCGATTGCTCGATTCGGGCCATCTCCTGAGGGGAGATCTTCTTGGGAGCCTTGAGCTGTTCTTCCAGCTCCTCTACCTCCTATTTGAGGCGCTGCTCCTCTACCTCCTATTTGAGGCGCTCGGCCTCCTGATTGCGCTCTTCTCCTTCCTTTAGAGCCGTCTCAAGGGCCACCCGGCTAGTCTCCAGATCGACCTTGAGTTTCTCCGAAGCCTCAGCTCCCTCCTTCTACTCAGCACAATGGGCGACCACCTCGTCCCTCTTTCTCACAAGAGCCTCTTTTGCTAGTTGCTCCTTCCTGAGGACATCACCCATTTTGACAATGTCCTCAGTTTGTTTGGCTGACTTCTCGGTCAGTGCGTTGAGGGCGGTCTGGTGCCAGCTATTTTGGAGGGCCAGCAACCCAGTGTTCTCGTCCTGGATCCTTTTTATGTCCTCCTAGGCCGACTGGATTTTGCACCTCTCCCGCGAACGCTAGTCTTGGAAGGCAGAGAGCCTAAGGAAGAGTTGTGGACGAATGGAAACAAGTTAGTAAAAGAAAAACAAGATAAACTAAGTACCAAAGTTCAAAAGACGCCTAGATACCTCAGCGCAGCTTTTTATCGTTAGGCCGAGGTATCCTTCGTGATCCCCTGAAATTTGTCTTGTACCTCGGCCGGGACGGCCCTCAGCATGGCCTCCTGGACCGTATTCTGTTCGGCCCCTGTCAGTGATGAGCCAGGAGCACGAACGTCTATCTCCTCGGCAATATCTGTGAAAAGCACAAGTTAGAAAAATTGAAGCAAAGTAAAAATTGCCATTACACAAGAAAGGTCAGGATGAGTACCTTCCGAGAAGGAGGGTGGTGCCTGCGAACGCCTCTCTGGAGTAGGAGTAGGCATAGGCTGCTGCTCGGCCATCCGAGGCGGAGATTGTAACCCCTCATCTGTCAGGGAATCCTTCAGTCGGGTCCCCAGGTACTCAACATGCGGAGTTGAGTCATTGCCGGCCGTTTGGTTTAGGGA